TTTCAAATTGCGATTCTTGCATCATAGACCAAGTTTGTCCTCGTGCCTCATCGTCTGGCAATCGCGAAAACCGCATGGTTGCGCATGAGCGAGCATGCGTGCCTAGGAGGGCGGACATGTGGCCAAGAAACCGATGGTAATAATCGAGCCACTACGTGTGGATGCCAATGTGTTGTTCTTGGCCTCACAGACAGCTGTCGTCCTCGCGCTTCATCACCTAGCAATCGCAAAACCATTTGTTTTCGCATTCGCGGAAGCACGCGTACCCAGGAGCGCAGAAATGTGGCCAAGAAATTGTTTGTAAAACTCTAGACAATGCGCGTGGATTGCAGCCTTTTGCATCACAGGCCATGTTTGTCCTCGCGCCCCATCGTCTGGCAATCGCAACACCGCATGATTGCGCGATTGCGGAAGCATGCGTGCCCAGGAGGGCGGAAAGTGCCGAAGAAACCGTCGGTTAACTTGTAACCGACGCATGCGGATTTCAATGTGCATGGCTTGGCATGGCAAGCAGTTGTTGTTCTCGCTTTGCAGAAGCTTTAGAGCGCTCAAGAGCGCTCCAGCGCTCGGAAGCCTCTGCAAAGCGTCCAGGCGCTCAGAATCCTGTGCAAATCGCCCAGGCGCTCATATGCCTCTGCTGAACGCTTAGGCGCTCAGAATCCTTGGCAAATCGCCAAGGCGCCCAGACGCCTCTGCAAAGCGCTCAAGCGCTCAAGCGCCTCTGCCTTTGTAGAGCGCCCAAGGCCTCAGAAGCCTCTGCAGACCGCCCAGGCGCCCATAAGCCTCTGCAGGACGCTTCGGCGGTCAGAAGACTCTGCAAAACGATCGGGCGTTCAGATGCCTCTGCAGATCGCTCAGGCGCCCAGAAGCCTCTGCAAAGCGCTCAGGCGCTCAGATGCCTCTGCAGAAAAGCGCTTAAAAGCTTCAGCAGCTGCTGCAGAGCGCGCGCGAGCGCGCGCCTGGGAAGGGTGGTCGCGAAGTGGCCGTTCTGGTTGCAAAGAGCCCCGTATCGGTTGTAAAGCAGTCGCTCAGCCCCGTATCGGTTGTAAAGTGGTCGCTCTGGTTGCAAGGTGGGCGGTTCTGGTTGTAAACTGGTCGTTCTCATAGGAGAGCCCAGGAACTCGATCCTTCGCTTGTTGTGAAGTATCATTTCTCGGTTGCAAGGTGCCGTTCGGATTATAAAGAAACAAACTCTCGGGTTAAAGACCCCCCTTTTTTCCGCATTGCGATTTACATGCGATTCTGCCCCATCGTCAATCATAATGATGAATCAACCCTGCCCCAGGGGGGCCGGTGTCCCCATCCTCCGCTATCCTTGGCAAAAAAAACGATGCGCGCGCTCGATTATCAAAAAAACATACGTTGTCGAGAATCCGATGCAAACATAAAACGAAGTGCGCGTGCGCGGGAGTCGTCGCACGCATGCCGAATCCTTCAAAAACCGGAGGTTTCGAAAGGGCTTCAAAATCGAAGGTCCAAACAACATATAAAAAACAAGGCTCCGCAAAACGGGTTTCCAAGACAAATTTGCGCGCGCTTGGCGAAAATACTACCAAACGAGCGTCGCGCGCGCATGTCGAAATCGTCCGAACGCTCTTGCGCGCGTGCTGGGGGTGGCACGATCTGTCAAATAATACCATGTAGGCTAGTCTCACGCCTGCCGCGCGCATTTCGAACTCTTTCCAAAACCGCCATCACCGACGCGAAGACGCCGTCATCGTCGCCGGCGTGATCGGCATCGGCGCCGTCACTGGCTGCCCCGTCGTCGCTGTCAGCATCGTCGCCCGCATCTCTACTATCAGCATGGTGTCTGCCGTTGTCGACATGGCCATGATACCCCCCCCGCCCAAGTCGCCCACTCGCACTGAAGAGCCCGCCGGAACGTGCCGAGCTGTCAGCGCCACCGCGTTCGCGACGGTCGCGACAAACAAGCTGGCCGCTACGCGTGCGAACGCGCGCGAGCTAGAGGGATGCACCAGCCAACAACACCAAGCACGCATCGCCATCGCTTCCGCAGGGGGGTTGCAAACCAAGTTGCGGGTGGGTGGGTGGGATGTTTGCTCGGGCTGTGGAGTGGACAACTTCAAGTTGAGCAATTGAGGGATTGCACCGCGTAGATTGAACCGGATAGACTGCAGTATCTAGGTGGCGCCGCTTAGATTGCACCACTTAAATAGTACCGCCTCGATTGCACCGCGAATACTTGCATTACACAGGTCGCACTGCTGAAATTCCCCGTTCTAACAAGATTAACCTCCCCCCCGGAATTAACAAGCCACCTTTTCGTGTTGAAATTTACATATGAGTCTGCCCGATCGTCCATTCAAAATATAAGTTCATACTATCACAGCCACTCCGGTATCACTCCCCACCGCCATCCTTTGCAAAACATGCTATGCGCGCGCATTCGTTTATTAAATATCACAGGTTTTCAATAATCCGTTGCAGCAAATGTGACGAAATGCACACGCGCGCGTCGTCGCGCGCGCATGCCGAAATCTTTCAAAAACCTTCGGTTTCGGAAAGATTGCACAGTCGAGTTTCCAAACACCATACAAACATACCGGGTTTCGCAACACTAATGTGCTACAGAAGCTTACGCGCGCGCTCTTGCGAAATCTTAAGAAAACCAAAAAGGTTTTCAATATTTTTCAAACAAAATGCTACAAAACTGGCTTCGCGCGCGCAGGTCGGAATGTTTCGGACGCCCTTGCGCGCGTGCCGTCGCGAGACCCCCTGGCAAAAAACCTGGACGAAATGCAGACGAGCGCGCCGTCGCGCGCGCATGCCGAAATCCTTCAAAGACCCTGGATTTCGGAAGTATTTCAAAATCGCGCGTCCAAAAATCATACAAAAACGCCAGGTTGCGCAACATGAGTTTCAAAAGCGTGCGCGCGCGCTCCTGCGTCGTCGTCGTCGTCGCTTCCGTCCTCCCTCCTCCCTCGTCGTCGTCGTCGTCGCCGTCGTCCTTTGCCTTTCCTCGTGTTCGTCGTCGTCGTCCTCTTTGGCGTCGTGGTCGTTTCCGTCGTCGTTGTCGCCGTGCTCGTCCTTCCTCCTCCTCCCTCGTCGTCGGCGTCTCGTCGTCGTCCCTCTTATTTCGTCGCCGTCGTCGTCGTCGTCGTCGTCGTCGTCGTCGTCTTCCCTCTTCGTCGGTGTCGTCGTCGGCGTCGCCGTCCTTCCTCCTTCTTCGTCGTTCGCGTCGTCGCCGTCCTCCCTCCCCCCTCGTCGTTGTCGTCGATGTCCCGTCGTCGTCCTCCCTCCTCCCTCGTCGTCGTCTTCGTTGGCGACGTCGTCGTCGTCTTCGTCGTCGTCGACGTCGGCGTCGTCGTCGTCGTCGCCACCGTCGTCGTCGTCGTCATCGTCGTCGTCGGCGTCACCGTCGTCGTCGACGTCGTCGTCGTCGGCGGCGTCGTCGTCGTCGGTGTCGTCATCGTCGTCGTCGTCGTCGGCGTCGGCGGTGTCGTCGTCGTCGGTGTCGTCGGTGTCGTCGTCGTTGTCGTAGTCGTCGTCGGGGTCGTCGTCGTTGTCGTCGTCGTCGAAGTCGTCGGAGACGTCGTCGGTGTCGTCGTAGTCGTTGTCGTCGTCGGTCTGGGAAGGTTTTGCGAACCAAGCTGCGGGAGGGTGGGTGGGATGTTTGCAAGAGCATGGGATGTGTCAAATCATGAATAAAATCAAATGCGCGACATAAATTGCACTGCGTACACTGCCTTGGTTGCACATCGTAGGGCCCCGTTCTATTGTTTTGTATGTTTGGTCTGGGAAAACCGGACCCCCTGGCTTAATGTGTCATTTTTTGTGTTGCAATGTACATACGACTCTGCCCCATCGTATTTCCTAAATAGGAGCTCGAACCATGCTCGCCCAGCCGGTACCGTCACCCCCGCCATCTTCGGCAGAAAACAGTATTCGCGCGCTCGTGTGACACAAATCATCAATGTTCAAGTGTCCGCGTGCGCACGCGTGCAACGTCGCGCGAACATGCCGCAATCCTTCAAAAACCGTTGGTTCCGGAAGGATTCCAAAACCAAGTTTCCAAAACGCACATGTATACATTTTGAAAATTATGTTGTGTAAGTACATATATACACATATATATAATACATATATATATATATGCGAAAAATGAGAAACACAGGCCGTAAACAACTATTTCGCAACACGGGCGCACGCATTCTTGCGTATTTTTGCCTAAAAAACGCTGGTTCCCCAAACTTTCAAAACATGCTGCCAACAGGGCTTCGCGCGCGCATGTAGAAACCGCTCGAACGCCCGACTGTCAAACGAAAACCACATGTCAAAAAACTTGCGCGCGCTCTCTTACAAATTCTTGTGGAAACCACTGATATTTCAACATTAGCATGCAATTATGCCAAACGGGCCTCTGGCGCCGCAGGCCGACATTATTTGCGCGCCCTTGCGCGCGCGCTGGGGGGGGGCACGATGAGTGTCACATAAAACCATGCGGGCCATCCTCGCGCGTGGGCCGCGCGCACGTGTCGAACTCTTTCCAAAACCTTCATCGCCGACGCGAAGACGCCGTCATCGTCGCCACCGCGTTCAGCATCGGCGCCCGCACGGGCCGCGCCTTCGTCGCTACGAACATCGTCGCCAGCATCGCTAGTATCATCATCCCGTCCACCACAGTCGGCGCTGCCATGATACCGCGCCCGCCCAAAGCGCCGACTCGCACTGAAGTGCCCGCTGGGATGCGCCCAGCGGTCAGCGGCACCGCGGACGCGTCGGTGGCGCCAATCTGGCTGGCCGCTGCGCGCGCATGCTCGGATTGGCGCGGCCGCAGTGGTGCACTAGCCAAAGCCAAGCATGCATCGCAATCGCCACCGTATGGGTTTTGCAAACGGAATTACGGGTGGGTGGGTGGGATGTTTGCAAAAAATATGGGTCGTGTCAAATTATGGGTAAAACCAATTGCGCCACATAGGTTGGACCGCATAGTCTGCAAGAACCTACTGTCTGGGGTCCACGCTGGCTAGCATTTTATTTTCGATAGTCACACATTCACTTTGGGAGGTCCGCGCGGACTCCCTGGACCTGCGCGGACCCCCCATCCTTGCCTGGCGCGCCGCGCGCTCTGAGGGGGGCAGGCGGCGGAATCGCGCCGCTGCGAAGGATGGGATTCGGACGCCGACCCGAAACATCAACGCGGGCCTCCGACAGTTCATCTCCGTACAGTTGTCTGCTCCTTGAGGCGTGCCCCGAGAGCCCCGATGGCCGACGAGATCTATCGGGCGGTTGGTAATGGGGGGCGACCCGCACGGGGGGTGAAGAGAAGGGCCCTGAATGGGGCCTTTTCAGGACCCCTTTGGGAGCCAGCTGGTGCCCAAAAGGGGCCCTAAAGGACCACTCTAGGGCACTTTTCCTCACCCCCCATTTGGGTCACACCCCGTTACCACTCGCCTCAATCTACACAGATCCACTGATGGGTCGATTCTCCACCACCACTACCACGGGTAGGACGAGGGAAAAGGGAGGATGTGGAGGTCCTCCTCCGCCTCCTCCTCCTCCCTCTCCTACGTATGTGCAGGCCTTCTAGATGGAGTCCGAGTAGACGGGGTCGGAGGATCGCGCCACATCGCTGATGCATTGGCGATGCACCAGCGATGTATCGTCGACGTGGGCGATGCATCGGCAGCGTCGACGTGGAGGAAATCCGCCGACCCCTTCGGGTTCATCGGCGTGTGAGATCTTTCCCCTCCCCAAACCCCTCCCCTGGGAGCCCGGTCCGGTCGATTTGGAGGGGGGGGGTCTGTTCAAATTCCCCGTTTCCCCCGGGGGGTCACCCGCTCCCGAAAATCCTGCAGGGACTCCTCCGGTGGCCTCGAAATGGCCCCAGGACGCACCACGACGACTCAAGAGGACCTCCACGTGGCCTTCGGTGGCTCCAAGATTTCCCAATATGGGCTCAAGACAGCCCACGATGCCTCCAAGACGCTCCAAGAGGCCCTGAAGGGGCGCTCCAAGAAGGTCCAAAGCAGCGAAAATCATTTATTTTCCATTGGGAAACGCACATTTTTAGCATCGACGACTTTTCAGCCTGCACGGAGTTGCAGCCAGGTTAAGAGGCCCCCAAGGCCACCCCACGACGTCCCAAAAGGGTCCCAAAAGGCGCCCAAGACGGCCCAAAACGGCGCCAAGACGGCCCCAAAGGCTCCGGAATCGGGCCAAAAGAGTTGCAAGACAGCTCCTAGGGGGGGCCCCAGCGGCGGAACCCGAACCGAAAATCCGAGCCCTCCGCTCCCACCTGGCCCTGGGACACCCCGCGAGCCGCCCAAAAGGTCCCAAGAGACCCCCAAAAAACCTCAAAAAAGCGCCCGAGAGGCCCAAAAGAGGCCCCAAGAGGTCCCAAAACGGCTATCAGTGAACTTCGAAACTACCTCCACGAAACCTGCGAGATGCCTCCCCAAAGATCCCAGCGAACATCGCATAAGCCTCAGACCCACAACCCGGGCACGGTGGCGTGACATGCCGACTGTAAGTAGATTGTGTGTTCCAGTTCCTCTCCCTCCTCCTCTTCAGCACCCTTCTCCTCCATCATCCCTCCGCCCTCCTCTTCCTCTCCTTCCCTCTTGCATCCTCTCTTCCTTTTCCTCATCCTCTTTCCCCAGCTTTGCCTTCCTCCCCCCCATCCTCCTTCCTCCACCTACCCCTAGGTCCAGACGTGTGAGATAGATCCCCCCCCATGACCCCCCCAGGGGCCTCAAACCGGAGATTTGACCCCCCCGGGCTCGGCACAAACGCATCACGGGACTTTTCTGGGGTCAAGAGGGCCTAAGCACGGGCCAAGAAGGCCCCAAGAAGCCTCCAAGACGGCCCACGAGAGCTCCGAGACGCCAAACGACCTTTGCGACTTCGGTAGTCTTCTCTTGCACGCGCCGCTCCTGTCGCGTTTTGATGATTCCCCACCTGTTGCTGCTGCAAATGTTTCGTGTCCGAGAACGCTCCTCCGCACGCCGCGCACGTCACGTCGCACCTCGTTCTCTCGCCCCTCCGCGCATTTCCGACAAAACCTCTCCCCCGATGAATTGTGTTTCTTCTGTGCACCCGACATTTCCGCCTGCTCTTTCAACAGCGTCAGACATGTCTTGCTCGAACGCATTGATTGGGTCGGCGGATGTGGCGTAAGCCTGAAGAATCAGAGTCCGCATCGAGCCGCGTCGCCGATGCATCGGCGATGCGACCTGATCCTCCGACCTCATCTGCTCCGACCCCATCTAGGAGGCCTAGACTATGGTAGTGGTTCGGGTGTTGCTAGGAGTACCCCTGGCCCAAGGTGCCCCCAGCTTCTCGCTTCACTTTGGAGCCCCTGGGGCCCTCTTGGCCTCGTGAGGGGTGCTCTGGAGGCCGCTTGGAATACCCCTAGATTCCTAGGGGCACCTTGGCCCAGGGGAACTTCTAGCAACACCCGCGTGGTGGTGGTGGAAAGTCGGCCCACCATGCACTGCTCTGGCCCAGCAGGAGGAGGAGATGGAGGAGGAGGAGAAGGAGGAGGAGCAGGAGGAGGAGGAGGAGATGGAGGAGGAGGGAGGTGGTGGAGGAGGAGGAGGAGGAGGAGGAGGAGAAGGAGAAGGAGGAGGAGGGAGGAGGAGGGAGGAGGAGGAGGGAGGAGGAGGAGGAGGAGGACGGGCGGCGTGCAGGCCTCCCTGGCCCGGCCGGCGAGGCAGACAACGCCGCTCCCGGACCCAGGAGCGGCCTGGCCAGTGGCAGCGGACATGACCTGTGCAGATTTCGGAAATGTCCGAGGTTCGCTGGGGATAGGTCCCACCCCCAAAGCGACGAAATCCCCTCCAAGACCCTCTCGAGACCCTTCGAAGAGCCTCCCAGAACCCTTCCTGGAGGGTCTTCGGGGGGGTTCTGGCTGTTTCGAAAGGAAGCCAACCCCTAGCGAACCCTGGACGTTCTAAGTTTAGATCTCGTTGCTCCACCCCAGAGGCCCCTCAGAGGCCTCCAAGCACGCCAAAGCGCGGACGCGACAGCTTGCCCGTGCAGCGCTACAGCCGGGCCCGCCAAAACGTGCTGGCTGCCCACAGATGGCTCTGCCGAGTCTTCCATCGAGGGGGGACGATCGGGGGGGAGGCGGGGCAGATCTGGGGGGCGGGGGAAACATCGAGTTGGAACATAGATCGGCGATGGGCCCCCGATAGCGAATCCGCATGGTCCTGAGCGGGACTGGCTAAGGGGCCCCTATTGGCGATACATGGGCAATTGCATCCCCCCCTGAGTCTGTCCCCGTCCTTCCGGGGCAGGTCCCTGCTCAATGCGTTTCGATACTGGCCTGGCACCGTGGCGGGGTTTGCCGCAGGCAGATGCATGGCAGCAACATGGTGGGGTGTCAGACGCGGTGCGAACGCACCCTTCTCTACCTACCATCATTCTAGCTAGCCTGTCAGTTCCTATTTCCCATTCGTGTCTGCGCGGCACCCGTACACTTCCGACCGTCTTGTCCTACCCGGCTCGGCCGTGCCCTGCTCAGCACTGGGTGATCTGGTAGCTCTGCGCCGTCATAAGCCATCTGGTCGTTGCGGGGCTGGCTGTCACACAGGAGGTAGACGAGGCCCCGGTGTTGCACGTTCCGACGTCGAGGGAATACTCGTAGTAACCCTTGCAACGATTACGCAAGAACACGGTGACCTTGGTCGAGGTCCCACACACCTGGATGTTCGGCCTGGCTGGGTCGTTGACGGCATCCCGGCGAAACTGCGAGCAAGTGTTCAAAGCACCAAAGCCAGAGCCCTGCGAATACACTTCCACGCCGTCGATCAAGACCTTCTGGTTCACGTCAACTGACGAGTTGCTGCGGACAGACACACTGGCAAGTGCTGGGCTCACAAGCGCCGCCGCGACCACAATGGCAATGCGCGCCATCAGCTTCGTTGAGGGTCAGAGCGAACAAAAACAGCCACCCAAAGAGCCTGGAAACGGCATCCGACAGAGCCTGGAACTCGCGGCCACGATGAGCGAGCATTCGAGCACCACGGAGGAGGCAAGAGTGGGAGCAGGAGCGGAATGCAGTGGGATGGGCTGCACATGGCCGGCTCCAGGAGCGGAATGCAGTGGGATGGGCTGCACATGGCCGGCTCCAGAAACCCTTGACCCATACCGTTGGCACCTCGTTTCGGAGCAGCGTCAAGACAACTCTGTCCACGGACCACTCCCGGGTTCCAGACGCACCGATCTTCCCAGCTGCGTCCCGCCACGGCGACCAGGGCCTCCCGGAAGGGCACCTGCCGTTGGCTCAACTCGCCCTCCTCAATCATGTGAGCGACGATACCCAAACGGGTCTGACGCGGGATGGCACAGCGACCTTTCGCGGTGGCTCACGCGGGCCGCCAGCGCGGCACGCTACTCTGGAGACCAGGGCACTTACGCGCGACCTTACGCGGGCAGCTTACGCGCCAATGCCGGCGCAGACGACTCCGTTTCTTTGCGTCGCTCATGTGTTTCTCCCGTCGGCATCCACTGGCCTCGGGGACGCACGAACCCAGGTCAGCGCAAAACCTGGTCCACCACTGGCCATCGCTCGGACGTCCATTCCCTCTTGTCCGGTTTCGTGCGTGGTTTTTTCTCAGGATGATCCAATATGCTCCTTAATAATTCCCGCCGAGGGAAAGTGCACACGTCCGAGCGATACCAAGACCAAGGCCACGTCGCGAACCCTGGCCGACCAGGCCCCGCGAAGCAGATCCCATGCCTAGGTCAGCAGAGGGCAGACAGGGGGAATCGGCCCGACGTGGCTCCCGAACCCAGGTCAGCCATGGGTGACCGGCTGACCCGGCTGGCGCCGACCCCCGCAACGTGATGAGCCCCGGGACGCCCTCCGTGCAAAGTTGCGCTCGCCGACCTCCCGTGCTCCCCGCCCCCTCCCCTCCCAGCCCCTCCCCCTGATCCCGCGTGGCGCCGATACGTTTGCAGGGTGAACTCGTGTCGCCATAACTGCCCGAGTCCGGGGCTACCATTGTTGGCGTCTCCGGTCGAACTCACAACTTCTGTACATGTTTGCCCATGCGCCGTCTGTGCGCCAGGCTTGACTGACTGCCCGACCTCCCGCTGAGGGAGACGAGGCCTGTCTGTCTCTCGGTGGTCTGGCCTCCTCCTTGAGCGCTCCACGCCGTGGCAGGGAGCCACGGCGGAGTGTCGAAGCTTTCGGGCGCACGCGGACCTGGGCGACGAAAAGGGATGAGCCTAGGCACCATGACACAGTGACCTTACGCCGGAGAGGGCCAACTGCGGCAAGGGCGGAGCGCCGGGGGAGGAGGCGACCCAAGGGGGACGCAGAGTGAGGCGAGGTGAGGCGAGGGAGACAGATCGCGAAGCTGGGTAGAGGAGAGGCGAGGTGAGCTGTGGCGTGGAAGAAGGGCAGCACGATGGAAAATGTTCTTGACAAGGGTTTTACGATCAAGGACCTGATTGTCTGAACGACATGCGGCCCTACCCGGCTCGGCCGTGCCCTGCTCAGCACTGGGTGATCTGGTAGCTCTGCGCCGTCATAAGCCATCTGGTCGTTGCGGGGCTGGCTGTCACACAGGAGGTAGACGAGGCCCCGGTGTTGCACGTTCCGACGTCGAGGGAATACTCGTAGTAACCCTTGCAACGATTACGCAAGAACACGGTGACCTTGGTCGAGGTCCCACACACCTGGATGTTCGGCCTGGCTGGGTCGTTGACGGCATCCCGGCGAAACTGCGAGCAAGTGTTCAAAGCACCAAAGCCAGATCCCTGCGAATACACTTCCACGCCGTCGATCAAGACCTTCTGGTTCACGTCAACTGTCGAGTTGCTGCGGACAGACACACTGGCAAATGCCGGGCTCACAAGCGCCGCCGCGACCACAATGGCAATGCGCGCCATCAGCTTCGTTGAAAGGTCGGAACGAGCACAGCGAGCTGCTTCCACACTGGAGCCGAATCCTGTGGCCACTTGAGACGATATTGCAGCGGAACAAGCAGCGCGGGAAGGAGGAAAGCAAGCAAGCAAGCAAGCAATTCGCCGGCCCACCGGGCCAAAGGCGTGCTAAGATCTCTGGTAACTGGTTAACAATATTTCTAGTTCGCACGCGCGGGGCGGCCCCTGGGGGTCCCCGGGCGAAAAAGTATCCCGACCGTAGCCCGAGCAGGTCTACTCAGAGATGGTTTTGAGGGGCTTTTTTCGACAACACTCACGAGGATCGTGGCCTCCGAGGGGGGTGCACTCGACTACCCCGCCCCAAGAGGCCCCCAAGAGCCCCCCAAGAGGCCCAAGGGGGCCCAAAGACGCCGCCAATGAGCCCCAAGAGAACCCCAAGATGCCCCCAAGAGGCCCCTAGGAGGCCCCAACGAGGCCCCCAAGAGGCCCCACAGAGCGCTCGAGGGCCGGCGGACTGAGCGAAGCGACTAAATAAGCATAGGATCCATGAAAGTGCTACATATCACGCACAGCCAAAAAGTTGGATCTAGGTGGCCTCAAATGGCAGCCTCCTCAAGGGTCACTCCCGCAGGCGGGGCACGCACAGGCCCAGCGACCGCCCAGTGAGGCGAGAGCCTCTCGGGGGCTGGTGGCGCTGCCCGTCCAACCCACTCAGAGCTAGGGGACTACCCCCCTCCCCCTCCCACGCCCTCTCGGCTTGGCTCGGGGTCTAGGAACGAAAACTCGACCGGCGTCTTCTGCAACGCCTTCGAAAAGATGCTGGTCAGTGCTATGTGTGAGAACAGGCAGCCTCACTTCCGAAACACCGCCCCTCACCTCAGACGGACCCCCTCCCAAAACTCCGCGGGCCTGGAGCTCGAGCTATCGAACGCTACCTGAAAACGCCGCGGGCACAGGTTTATGCGTGCGGCCGTGTGCGAAGATATATGTGGGCCTATGTTCGCCTCGGCCGAGGACGAGGTGGGGGTCGGGGGGTCGACGTGGGATGCCTCGAACAAGGGGCCCGTGGGAGCGTGCCACCCCTTCCAGGGCCGAAGAGGCGCTCACGACTACCCGATGTGGTCTGGCGGCAATCGGACGAGACTGAGGTGATGATTCACCCTGGTCAGATGAGCCTTCGGTTGCAACTTCGGGAGACCCCGTCCGTCCCGTCGCACAGCGATCCGCGTCAAATCCACACCGAATCCATGACGAAAGCGTGGAATCTGCGTCGAATCCACGTCGAGCACGAGAACACATTCTGGAGAGGACAGTCCGTGAAAACGACGCCCACGAACAAGCCTGGAGCCCAACATAGCACTCGTCGCCCACAAAGCTGCTGCGTGACGGGTCCTCGCGAGTATGTCTCAATCGTCATCCTACATCACGCTGGGCAGACGCAAACGCGACCATAAGCGACCACAGCCACATCGATCACCCTGGGGGTCGTCTTGCGCATGCCAACAGGCTAACAGTCGTCAGAACACCGACACCAGCTCACTACTGGTTGTTGTCGATGTGGGTGTCCCAGGACGCCCAAATCGACCACAACCACGACTCAAGTGTCCATGCCGAGGACGGCGGGTTTTCCCCAGAGGGGCCCTCCAGAAAAATCAGCTCAGTTGTGGTTGTGGCTCTTTGCTGTGCCAAGATGCGCTGTAATGTTCAAACCCGGCCCCTGGGAGCAAGGCAGGCAAGAATGCAAAACGTGTGGACGTTAACCCAAGATTTCTGGACGACCGAAGCACCCTAGAGGCAGACCGCGGAAATAACAGTGCGGAGGTGCCCATGTTCGCGCGCAGGCCGTCCAGAGGTACGCAGAAGCGTGAAGCAGGAATGCCGATGAAATACTTTGCTGCTGGCGAAGGGCCCAACCATACACACGCCTGCATATCGCAATGCAAATTTGACGACGAAATGGGATCCACCTATGACGCGACAAAACACGTGAGATGCGTTCCGAAATGAGCGTGGTGCCGCCATGCGAACTTTCCCGCTGGGGCATTCGGTGGAGCTCTTCATGGGGCCACGAAGCGTGCGAGGGATATGCCGGAATAGACACGGTGCCGCCATGCGAACTTTCCCATTGGGGCCCTCGCAACAGCTCCATATGGGGACACGAGAGGTGCGACGGGTGTGCCGAAATGGGGAAATGAGTGCGGTGCCGCTTTGTGAACTGTTCCACCGGAGACTTCGGTGGAGTCCCCGATAAGGCCACATATAATAATATTGGAATGCGGCGATAGTGCAACATCTCGGCTCAGGAAAAATGATCGAGTAATATGACAAGGCAGACTTGACAAGCAATGAACAAACAATGGAGCGGGGCACAATCGCAAATTAGGAACGCAAGGACAACACAGAAACGCAACATAGGAATGGGCAACATTTAGAACCGTTCCTTCGGAATCAGGACACAGCATCATATCATGGCATAATGGTCATACTAGGGCACAGGATCGCCACGTTGAAATAGGGGCACAGTGTGGAGCTGTGACTTGCGAATAAAAGATCAATGTGCAACCACGACTTAGAAACAAGAAAGTCAGTACACAGTCGCGACTGGCATATCTCAGGGTCGGATCGCAACTTGGGAATAAGGAAGCACCACATGATCGCGATCTCGGAGAGGGTGTGATCCACCGCCGCTTTACTATGGAAAATTACCCCCCCTCTTCCTCCGGACCCGGCGCCCCCCCCCCCCCCCTTCGAAAATCCCCCCCTGCTGGAATCCCCCCCCCCCCTCCCCTCCCCCGGCAAAACCCCCCCCTCCCCTACCCCCCCCCCCCCCCTCCCCCTCGAAAACCGGGGGGGGGTCACTACCGGTTCGAACCCCCCCCCTCGAAAACCGGAGGGGGGGTCACTACCGGTTCGAACCCCCCCCCCCCCCCCCTCACCGCCAGCAAACGACTCCCGGTCCCTACCACCGTCCGCACCACATCCCCCACTGTTGTTCCCAGCACCACTGTCCTCACCACCACTGTCCCCACTGGTTCCACCACCGTCCCTACTGTCCCCACCAGTGCCCCCACCACTGTCGCACTGTCCCCACTGTCCCCACCACTGTTCCCACCACGGTTCCACTCTCCCCACTTTCTCCACGGCCCCAACCACTGCCCGACTATCCCCACTGTCCCCACTGTCCCACCGACTTCTCCGCTGTCCCACTGAGCTGTCCCACTGTTCCCACCACTGTCCCCACTGTCCCCGCCACTGTCCCCACTGTACCTCTGTCCCATTGTCCCACCGCCGTCCTCGCCACCGCCTTAACCACTGTCCCCACCACCACTGTACCCTCCACTGTCCCCACTGTCCCCACCATATTCCCACTGTCCCCACACCACTGTCCCCACCACCACCGTCCCCACCACTGTCCCACTGTCCCCACTGTTCCCACCATTGTCCTCACCACTGTCCCCACCACTACCGTGCCCACCACTGTCCCACTGTCCCCACCACTGTCCCGCTGTCCCCTCCTCACCACTGTCCCCACCACCACCGTCCCCACCACTGTCCCCCCCCCCTGGTTTTCGAGGGGGGGGGGGGTTCGAACCGGTAGTGACCCCCCCCGGTTTTCGAGGGGGGCGGGGGCGTTCGAACCGGTAGTGACCCCCCCCCCCACCTTTTCATAATGGACTGGGGGGGGGGGAGGGGTTCGAACCGGTAGTAACCCCCCCCCGGTTTTCCAGGGGAGGGGGGGGGGGAGGGGTTCGAACCGGTAGTACCCCCCCCCCGGTTTTCCGCCAGCAGCGGAACAATCCACCACAGGTCCCCCTGACACGTTAAGGAGACAGAGAATGCCAAGTGCTGTGAGGCAGGGTTCCTGTGCTCTTCTATGGTCCAACCCACCTCGAGGCGCCTTCTCGCATGCATACCCGCCCATCTCCCGACGCTGTCCGACGCTGTCCAAGATCTTTGGTATGCCAAAGATGGCTTCCAAGACGGCCCGGGAGAGCCCGTAAGGCCACAAGATGGCCCAATGCGCCCACCAGACTACCCAACATGGCCTCAGGACTGCCCGAGAGGCTCCCAAGACGGCATGAGAGGGCTCGAGGAGATCCTCCAGCAAGGCCCGGCGATGCATTTTGGCGTCCTCGTCTGTTCGGGTTTCCGCGAGAACAAGACGGCCCAAAAAGCCTACAAGATTGCCTCACATCGGCCCACCGAGGCTTCGACAGAAATCCCAAAGAAGGCCCAAGAGGGTTCCAAGATGGCCCAGTAGCGGTCCAAGAGGATCCCAAGTCGGCCCAAGGGGGCCCTCAGACGGCCCTCAGGCCACCAAGAGGGCAACAGTACAATCCAGCGAGCCCACTCCTAAAGTTCCCAGGACAGCCTAGGAGCGCCTTCCGACGGCCCAGGGATCCCCCTTGAGATCCCCCGAGGCGCCGCCGAGACCCTGCCGGGATGCCCCCCCCATAAGAGGCCTCCCACAAGCGCTCAGGGCCTTCGGAAGGCCCATCACCCTGAACTGCTGCGCTGGCGCGGTTTGGCGGAATTGACGGAGGCAGCCGCATAAGGAACCAGTGTAGAATAGAAGATGGCACGTCGGTCGGACGAAGTAGGCAGAAAACATGAAGTAGGACGGCGGATAAAGTAGATTGGCTCCAGGCCCTCCCAGAGGGTAAGAAAACACATCAAGACCACGCCGATTCTTGAAGTAGGAAGGCGCTAAAAATAGATGTGGATCTGGGACTCCAAGAATACCTACTTTCAACGACTGGCGTGTAGGGAGACGAGAACAGGATCGAGTCTCGACCTGAATGGGGAAACAGTACAGGAGCACGAGATCGACGAAAAGAAGCAACATAGCCTCGCATCTTGGGACGAGGAAGCCGCATATGCTCGCGGCTTACAGGATAAATACAGAACACGTAGTCGCCACATCGGAATCAGGATCCAGCATACACAAAAACACACGCTACAAAACATCAGGAACCCTTTCAGACTGGCAACATAGGAATTCGCCAGCCCAACGGGCCAGAGACGTGATAAGATCTCTGGAAACTGGTTCACAAAATCGATGTACATTCTAGATTGCGCGTGCGGGGCGGCCCCTGGGGCTTCCGGAGGAAAAGTACCCAGCCGTTTCCCAGCAAGGTCCCGGCTGGCAAGGGCCGCTCAAGGATGCCAGAACTCCCATGGGCGGTTTTCGGAAACCTCCAGATCGCCCCAGGAGCGGCCCAAAAGACCTCAAGGCAGCTCCAAAAGGGCCCACGAATCTGAATCACGGCCCAAGAGCGCTCCAAGACACCCAAGATGGCCCCAAGACGGCCCGGCAGGCCCCAAAGAAGCACCAAAAGCGCTTCAAGAGGACCCCATAGAGGGTCAAAAGACGCAAAAACCATTGATGTCCCTCATGTTTGTTGTTCAAGTGTTCCCGTTCTTGCGTTTTCCGGCTTCGGACGCTCCAAGATGGCCCCAGAGGCCCCTAAGACCACCACAAGACAGCCCGAGAGGCCCCCAAGAGGGTCTCAAGACGGTCCAAGAGGGCCCCAAAACGGCCCCAGAGGCGCCAAAGATCGCCCAAGAGGGTCCCAAGACGGCCCCTAGAGGGGCGAAAGAGGGGGAACACGAACCACCAATTGAAGCCTTCCGCCCTCAGAGGTTCAAGAGGCCCACAGAAAGCCCAGAGGCCCACTGAAGGCTTCACACGCCCCCCAAGCGGCCCAAACAGCGGCCCCAAGAGGACCCCAAACGACCTCCAACAGCCACGAACGCGCAGGCAAACGCCTGCGATGGCACAATACGGGCAGACGGGATGAGAGAAGCGATGACATGAGGCAACAACATATAATAATTTGGACTAGAGATCGGGGACGGTGCACAAACGCGACACGGTAATAAGGAATCACTACACACTTGCAACTAAGGATTAAGGACGCATGACAGACACACGACTTCGGAATGAGACCAGGCTCGCGCGCAGCCCGTACGCACCGTTGCATAGGCTCGTGCTGAGTTGCAATGATGGAAGGCGGCCCCGTTTGAGCACGGAGTGTTGGCATGATGTCTCTTGAACCTCCACAACCAAACATTCGAACGTACAAAACATCTGCACAGTGAAGGGGCTGTGTTTCAAAATGAGGCTCGCGCTCTCTCTCTATCTCTTTATTGGGAGTTCCTCGAAGTTCATTACCATGCGTGCGCATCTGTGCGGCAGGTGTACATATGGGAGGGCGTCCTTTTGCAAAACGACTAGATCACTGGACACATCATGAACCTGTGCGGTCATACCTTGTTGCATTCGGTGATATTCGCCACGGGGACACAATGCGATTCCTTTTTCAAAACGGGGCTCTTGCCTGAATGGCAGTCCCGCAGGGTGCTCGCATTTCCGAGGGAGGTACTTCTTGTAGTGAAGCGAACGCTGTAAAGGACTCTTGATGAAAGGGCCTTGGGACGGGCGGGTGTGTTGCGGCATCGCTGGTGTATCTCCGGGTTCCCCCTGGCCAATCTCCTCCTCCGAGTCCTTACCCTCCTCCTCCTCCTCCTGTTGCGTCTCTCGATTCCCAGGCAGACGGCGGCGGCGACGGTGAGGGGGCGCTGCACGACGCTGCAAGGCAACTGCGCGGTCACGGGCGCGACAGCGGCGCCCAGCAGGACGGCAGCCCGCAGCGCCCCTCGCGCGCCGCAGCAGCCCGCTGCCTCAGAGCCGGCGCCTGACCAAGGCAGCCAACGGCGACGACAGGAAAGGCGCTGCGCGGCAGCGGCGCGGTCTCGCAGGCGGCGGGGTCTGGAAAGCAGCACACTCGAAACGCCCCTCGCGCGCCGCGGCAACCCGCCGCCACTGCGGCCGCACTGGGCCCTGACACAAGGCGGCGGCGACGAGGGAGGGATGCGCCGCTGCAGCCCGCGGCCTCAGCGCCTGCTCCGGGCCACGGCCGGCGACGGCGGCGAGACGCTGCGAGGAGCTGCGAGGCGCTGCACGGCAACTGAACGGTCACGCGCGCGACAGCGGCACACTCGAGGCCATCACGCGCTGCAGCAGCCCGCTGACACAGCGCCTGCGCCGGACCAAGGCAGGCGACGGCGGCCACCAGGAGGCGCTGCGCGGCGCTGCACGGCAGCTCACGTGCGCGGCCCCCAGAAGGCCAGCAGGCCACAGCGCCTCTCAAACTCCGCGGCAGCCCGCTGCCTCAGCGCCCGCGCCAGCCCAGGCAGGCGACGGCGGCGACGAAGAAGGCGCTGCGCGGTCACGTGCGCGGCGGCGGCGCCCAGAGGGCCTGCAGACCACAACGCCCCTCGCGCGCCGCAGCAGCCCGCCGCTACTCGGCCCGCGCAGGGCCCTGGCAGCTGGCGGCGACGAGGAAGGCGCTGCGCGGTCACGTACGCGGCGGCGGCGCCCAGAAGGCTGGCAGGCCATAGGGCCCCTCGCGCGCCGCGACCGCCCGCCGCTCCAGCCCCCGCATCAGGCCCAGGTAAGGAGAGCACGCGCCCGCGTCACCGGAGATCAGGCCCTCGGCGCCCCAGCCGCGAGAGTAGTCGAACCAACAGCGGGCAGCGTGCAGGCCACGGTACATGGCCTTCAACCGTCCCAAGCTGAAGGACTCCAGCCTGCCGTGGAGCTCGGCCATGTCAATGTCCGAAGGCACCTGTAGCGACAAGCTCGGCCAGTCAATCTCCCCCTGGAACGGCACTGTCAGCTCGTCGGAGAGAATCACGGGCACGCATCCGAAGAAGAATGCCTCGTACAGGTGAATCGTCCATGCAGTTAGCCCGGCTGGCACCAAACAGAACCTGCTCATGCCCATGCGCCGGTAGTAGTCGCGCACTGGTGGTCCCACGCTGCAGCCCGATTGGTTGGCGAAGTAGGCCATCACGCGGTCCCGCACGGCCGCAAGAGGGCTCCTCCTGTACATGTGCCCCACGCTCTCGCTGGACGACGAGTGCCCATGGAATGCGACCAGGATGGAGCGCTGCAGCATGGGCCTGTTGAAGCTCACCATCGCCGAGATCCGCCACGAAGGTATGTATCCTGGGATCAGCACGTCCTTCCAGTGAGACAGCCACGCGAGCATGTTCGGGCCAGCCGTGTTCTCGGCCTGGTACGACTCCACGGTCACCATGATGGACTCGGAGGCGGCTGGGGGGTCTGAACTGGATGGACCCGGAGAACATTTTCAAAAGGAGGAGTAAGGCCAAATCCGCTCAAAGTCGGTCCCCAGACCCCTTCGGGTCCATCTGATCCAATTTTCCACCCTGGATATTCTTTTGAAAGTCCCGGGGTCCGAAAACGGCCCCCATGCCGAAAAGGCGAAACAAGGTACCTCTTTCAAGGCCTCCCAAATGGGGTCCGAAAAGACGGGGCTGGAGGATCGCGCCGACTCGCCACCGATGCATCGGAGCTGTCGGCATGGAGAACGTCGGGCTCTACATCGATCCCATCTACTCCAAGCCCATATGGGAGGCCTAAATCTTCCACTCCTTCCTGCTGGCCAGGACCCAAACTGAGCCATCTCAGACCCCCAGCCGGCTCCAACGGATGGACTGCCTGGCGGCCACCGCCAGCGCGTCCCGCAGGGGCAGCAGGTTGCAACCGAACAGGAAGAAGTGGTCCGCGCCGCGGCGCCTTCGGGTGCCGCTGGAAGTGCCCCGGAAACCAAGGTGCCCCCCCAGGATTCCCAAGGAGGCCCCAAACGGCCAGGGGCGCCAGGGGCTCCGAAAAATTGGGGGCACCTTGGGCCCCGGGCACCTTTGGCCGCCCCAAACGCCTGCCGAAATGGGCGAGGTCCGTCCGGGGGTCGAAGTCTGGAGGGAAGCACCTCTCGGTGTTGCCATCGAAGCCGCACGCCGTCTCGTTGTAGCAAGCTTCATAGGCCGGGAGGAAGAAGAGGTCGGCCTCCTAGAAGGCAACGTCGTCAGAACGAGGAACAGCTATTAAGCCCGCTCAATGGGCCATCGAACTATACTAAGCCGCATTAGGTCTCGGATGAAGCCGGATGAGGCCGGATTCGGCGGGATATAAGCTGGAGTTTTAAGCGAGACATGACCCAGATGAGGCCAGTTGCCGACCAGAGATAGACCAGCGCCGACTCAGAATTTAGCATCCCAGGAGTTTGCACCCTAGCTCCTGGGAGTCGCTGGTGACGCAGCTGCCGCTTGTTAACCACCTGTGGATGTGCACAGAGGCCGCGCACTGAGACATCTTCTGGGAGCAGGTCAGCACGGGCCTGGTCATGTGCGCCAGCTTCGGCACCGCGTAGGCGAACACCTTGAGCGGCGAGCCGTGGCAGCTGTGCGCCCCAGCCAGCCCCAGCAGCCGAGGCACGTGGTCAGCGCCGGCCGCCAGGGACAGCCAGCTGCCCAAATGACCGGCATCCTCCTGCCCAGGCATCCGACGCCGCGGTCTTCCCAATGCGTGGCCCCCAGACCTGTGGACCCCTTCCCGGGGACCCGCATCGTTTGTTGATGGCCCCTGAGCCAGTTAGCAGCGCACGGAGGCCGAGCATCGAGCAGACAACGTAATGGAACCCCAGCGGCAGAAGGCCCTGCACAGTTTTTCACAGCTGCACGGAGGGTGGCCGCGGTGAGGGGACAGCGTTGGGGGGCCAGCATGGGGGGGAGGGGCGCACGGAGAAAGGCCACGATGGGCCATCGATTTCGGCGGCCTGGCATCCCTACTTGGGGCGTTGGACGAATTCGGTGCAAACCCTCCTGAAGGACAAAACCGTTTTGGGACAGTATCTGAGACAGATCTTCAGGGACCGACGCTTTTCAAGGGACAAAAGCAACAGCTGTTCAGGGTTTGGGGGCAACGCGCTGTTCTGCGACACCACCGCTGTCGGATACGAGCCGTTTGGAGGCAGAATGCCGCCCAGGGGCAAGCCCCCAAGCATGGATGATGGCACGACGTTGGGTGCCCGGGTGCCCCGACGAGCCGGGATCCAGCTCCGCGCGCAGCCGCCACGCGGCCTTGGCCTCCTCCTCGCCCAGCTCCCTGCTGGGGGGCAACGTCAGGGCGGCCCAGGCTCAGGGGGTGGGGCAACATCGAACTGGAATCGGCGGTGCATCGCCGATGGAGCGGCGGTGGGCCATGGTGGGCCCCCGATATCGAATCCGCCCGTTGCCCGGGCGGAGGCGGGCTTTCGGACCCCTTTTATCTAGAGGAACAAACAGACGGCATAAACAGAACCTTTCGCCGGTCCGCGCGCATTTCTTGGATCCGCGCTGGGCCCCCCTCCCTGGCGCGCGGAGCGCGCCAGGGGCGGCGCCGGAGGTGCCGCACCCAGCAGAGATCCAAGAAATCCAGAGCGCCAACCAATCATGTTTACAGCGTTTCTGCTTCGACGATCGGCAATCGGGAGGAGAATTGGAGGTCGATGCGTCCCCCCCAGGCTATATTCCCTTGTGCAAGGGCTAAACCTAAACGGTGTTTTCCGTTTTCGTTTTGTTCTCGATTTCCCTCGTCTTGTCGCCAATCCGCCTCTACCGCAAAACGAAGCCGAAACGAAAACGGCCCACGAAATCGCCAAAACAGCGTTTAGGGCCAGCCTGGCCTTGTGTCAAGTCGGGCCTGTCCTCCTACAGGGGGGTTTTGGACGAGAAATAAAACATAGCCAAAAAATGCCCAAAAGATGCCCAAAACTGCGCAAGAAATAGTCCCCAGACTATATTTTTACTACGTTTGATTGTTCCCCCCTGTCGAGGGACAGGCCCGACTTGAGCCTTGTGCAGCGTCGCCCCCGACCTGTCCACCTGCGCCACCACGAGCTCCAGGGCCCGCCCGGCGCCCGCAGGGCACGCGGACGCCGCGGCCTCCCAGGCGCGCCGGTCCCCGAGCCAGGAGCGCACGTGCCCCAGGATCAGCGAGGTGTCCTCTCGGGGCCATCGCTCGGACGTCCATTCCCTGTTTTTTTCGGTTTCGTGCGTGTGTTTTTTTCGCAGGATGGTCCAGGATGCTCCGTGAAAATCCCCGCCGAGGAAGAGTTCACACGTCCGAGTGATACCAAGTCTCTGGGCCAGGAGGGCCCAGGATCGAGTCGGCGAGTCGCATCGGCGATCGGGGCGAGGCGGATCGGCAGGCATGGGCGGCCACGGCGGGGGAGGGGTCGAGTGTCAGCAGAGATCGGCGGGCCAGTGGGCCTTCATGGAGGAACCGGGATCCAGATTTGTGCTGCTCCCATCGTGCTTCAGGACGACATCCCAGAAATATTGTCGAGCACCTGGAAGAGTATCGAACAAATGTCAAACGAATATCGCCTCCAAGGGCCCGACACGTGAAAACTTTCAATTTTAGGTACTTTCTCGGTGCTCGAAACTCTTGCTGGTGATCGAGGCGAAAGTGGGCCGTGGTTTCGTGGAAGCGACCTCGGCCCCAAGCCTGGCGGGCACAAGCCTAGAAGATGACGGTCGCGGCGCCCTCTAGAGAATCGAAAGCGGACACTCCACTGATCGACGCGTCAGGGTGGGGGTTCTGTCCACCCAAGAAGCTTACGGGCGCATGTCTGCCAGGGGCTACGTCGGGCGTGTCCCTCTACAGAAGGAATCCGCCCCCCCCCCCAAAAAAATAGTCGGGGAAAGATGTTTCACTACGTTTGCCTATGAGTGAGTGTTGCTTGACTAAGATTTGCTTTTCGTTAAAAACCCGCCTGTAGTAGGGCATGCCCGACCTAACGCAAGGGCCCTGGACGCCGAAGTTGGCACATGGCGGGCGGCGGACTGCCAGCACCTCCGAAGGGCTGGCAAGTGGAAGCCGCGAAGGACAGGCCGCAGCGGCAAGGACGCAAGGGCACCCTCAAGACATTCGCGCGCCTGTGCTGGGAGTTTTGACTGCAGATGGGGTCGGAAGCCCATCGCCGAGGTATCAGCGACGTCGGCGATGCGGTGGCGCCATCGGCGTGGAGAAACTCGGGCTCCGACGTCTCGGACCCATCCACTCGGACTTCATCTGAGAGAATGGGACTCTTGGCAGGCCGAGACCCAAACCCCCTCGCGGCGTGAACGCAATGCGACGGAGGGCAACTTTTCGGCCTCTGAGGCGCCTTCTACTGGGCCCTCGGACCCTCCCTCCCTCTCTCCCTCCCTCCCTCCTCCCTCCTCCCTCCTCCCTCCTCCCTCCTCCCTCCTCCCTCCGCCCTCCTCCCTCCTTCAGACACATGTCACGAGAAGCCGGTCCCGGAGCACGGGGGCCAGACCTCTGAGAGGGCCCACGCCGTGAAAAAGCATCACGACCTCTGGGGTCTGGGAACAGCGAGAACTGTCCAACATCGACAGCGGCCGCTTCTGGGGGCTGGCAGCGTCATGCAGCGTCTGGCCCAGAGGAACAGCGCCCACGAGACACCGGCAGCGAGCCCTGCCAGGGATGTGCAGGACGTGCTGCCGGATCGCCGTCCCCGTTCTCCCCGCCGCCGCTCCTCGGAGCAGGGGCGAGCTGGGACGACGGCAGCTCGAGCGAGTGGTCCCCCGGAGTGCAAGCGCTCCACGGCTCCCCCGGGGCTGCGTGTGGCCGTGGCGAGCAGGCCCCTCCCCGAACATGTGGAAAGGTGCGTCCCGATCCGCACCCTCGCGCGGAACGCGCCCTGCAGTGGCCCCGCGCAGGCCGCGCGCTCGCTCCTGACTGCGAAGGCGCGTCGAGCTTGCCGTTGTCTCCGCACTGGTCACTCACCCATTGCGCCTTTGCCTCTTCCCTGGTTGAGCCTACTGCCATTGTGGCCGTGCGCCCTCCCACGGCGGCGACGAGGTCCTCAGATCCCACAGCGGCGTCTGATTGAAGATGGATTTTTGTTTAAGAACGTGGACTAATTACAAGAAGAAGAAAACCTATTACAAAAAACACAGACGCTCTGATTCCCAAATAAGCACGGATGTATTCCTTCATAAATGCGAATATGTACTTGATATTCGTATCCGAAAAGCGAAGCCTTAGCAACCATAGATGTATCAAGGAACTTTCGTTTGTTGTTCCCCCGGCCTGTTTTTCATTCAGAGGTCGATCCTCCGCCGCGTGGCCCTGAAAGAGGAATGCGCGCAGCGTCGGTGACTCCATCCGACGCTGAACTCGGTCGAGCTGCAATGATGCCCACTCGTCACACCATCGGGGACCTGCGAAAGAACACCCAGACACGGGCAACAACAACACCGGGTGCACCGCCTCCGAATCAAGAGACTACCTGAACATCGATGGGGCAAGATACCTCCAAGTTCTCGAGGGCAGGGGCTGGGCCTCGGTTTCGACTGGCGACCGAAGGCCAACTGCCGTTGTCTTCACCCTGGGGGAACCAAAAGGTACCGACATCGCTACTCCCCCAACCTCTTCATGGGGTGCGTTCTGACCAGACTTTCGAGGCGAATCCAGCAGTGGCGACGAGGGCCTCCCAGGAGCTCCAGAAAGGCGAACACCAGGCGGGGCAGCGGCATCGGTACCTCTGAAACTCGCGCTCCTCTGAAAATCGATCGCGCCGATCCTCCGCCGGCAGCTGCTGGCCCGGCATGCCGTAGCGCCGGCTGGTGTTCAACGCCGCCGCCGCCATCCGCACCGTTCGCCAGAGCCCGAGGGGCTCCTCCGGGCACCCGAGGAGTCCGTCGGCGGCGTCTCCCGTCGCCTTGCGGGACCAGCCAGCTATCGAAGCGGGACATCAGGCCGACTCGGAACTCGTGGGCGAAAAACATATCCGTATCCGCGGCCTCGCGGGCCTGGCCCCTTGGCCGCAAGCCAGCGGATACGAAGCCTCTTTTCGCGAAGGCCCCGCGCGGCACGTATCCACTGACATGCTCGCCGCTCGTGAGGAACGTATGACTCGACGCGGAATCGCAACTGGGGAAACTTGAAGATACCCATACCGTTACTCCCATGAATTCCGAAAGACTTGCAACATCGCAAGAAATCACCACCGAACCCCTGGACCCCATCCTTCTGCGTCATTTTTCGAGCCCGATCGATCTGTGAGGGTCCCGGGACCCAAAATTGACCGAAAACGCCCTGCTCGATAACATAGAGTCGCAAGGATCTCAGGATTCGAGTCGACTGGGAATCGCAGCGGGCTGCATCCGCTCGGAAGCGCAGGGAGCAGACCGCGCCGGCCCGCGCCCAGGGGCAGACGGTAGCGGCCGTGGGGGCGTCGGGGCTGCACCCACGTCGCTGGAGCAGCTGGGCCGAGGCCGACTTCGAGCAGACGGGAGAGGGCGGGGCCGCATCGGACGGATCGAAGTGGACCCCTGCGCCGCATTGCCGACGCATCGGTCAGATCGAAGAGGACCCCTGGTGGCTGGAGGAAATTGCGCCGCATCTCCGACGCATCGGCGATGCATTGCCGATGTGTCGGCGACGTCGGCGATGAAGCGGCGACAGCAGCGCGGAGAAAGTCGGGCTCCACGGCGCGAGGCATCGCCGACTAGTTGTAGTAGAAATAGTCGCAGGAGTGGTAGTAGTAGTAGTAGTAGTAGTAGTAGTAGTAGTAGTAGTAGTAGTAGTAGTAGTAGTAGTAGTAATAGTAGTAGTAGTAGTAGTAGTAGTAGTAGTAGTAGTAGTAGTAGTAGTAGTAGTAGTAGTAGTAGTAGTAGTAGTAGTAGTAGTAGTAGTAGTAGTAGTAGTAGTAGTAGTAGTAGTAGTAGTAGTAGTAGTAGTAGTGTGGTAGTGGTGGTACTACTACTACTACTAATAGTAGTAG